CCTCTGGCAGTTTCTCTCCAGTCCTGCTGCATCTCTTGTAGCTTTCTCGAGTTCTCTAGTTCAAATACTGAGTTTCCTTCATTGCCTGAAACTCTCTGCACACGACTTGTCTACTGTAGAGCAGTATAAGGTTTTAGAAAGTCTTTTTAATAGGACAATGAGAGATTCAAGAGCCAAATTAGGGCCTAATGGAAGTCAGTGAGAAAGTTATTTGTGCTCAGTGCAGTGGGAATAAGATCTTACCTTAGATAAAGTGCTAGTAATATGCATGCCCCACTCTAAGAAGTGGTTCTCTTGCAGTCGTGGATTGTAGTGGATTACCACACTACGCAACAGGACACATTTAACTTATGTTAGTAGAAACACCACTGAAATCTGATGGCACTGATAAGCATGAACAAGCCTCCAATGTGTCTGAAGCCAGAAGTCATAGGAATTGGCATGGATGGGGTGCCAGCTTGAAGCTTACACCTCTCATCTGTTGACCAATGAATCCCAAGGAGGAAAAGAATTTTTTTCTGCTTCACTTCCAGATTGATAAAAGGTTCTTACTGCCTAACCTTTCAGAAACTCTTTCTTCTGAGGAAATCTCTGGTATTCCACATGACTAAAAATAGGCATCTCATTTAGAGTAATGGTTTGCCTGCTGAGAGTTTTTATTACGCTTCATTGTGCTTCTTCCCTAGATAGAGTTGTGCTTTGTGAAGGGCCTGGCTTGCGTATGGGAGAACACAGCAGATTGAAATTACAGAATATTAAATGTAGTACTTACAGTCCCTGTTTTGCGATAGACATTTTGCCTGGCTGAGGACTGGTAGCACAGAGACAAACAAGAGAAGCTGACAGATTGGTGAATGCTGGGTGGGATCATTTGTCAGGAGACGCGATGAATCACTGTGGTGCAGCATTTCATTTTCAGAAAGATCATTTTCTGAAAAACTCAAACTGAAGGCAGAAGAAACAGCTGGGGGTGTTTTGTGAGTTTTCATTTAAATCAAATATACAATTAGAATAAAGGCATATTGAAAAGTTCCTGCTATTCTAAAAATATTTTGAGGAAGAAACAAAATTGAGGTTAGCAGGCAGCAGAATTACCTGGAGGAGCATTTGCCAACTATGCTCCACAAATAGGTATTGAGTTTTACTTACCCTTCTCTGGTCAAAGCCAGTAGGAATCATATGTCTAGAACTTCAAGCAGTGCTTCAATTAGGGGAAAAATATCCATCTTATAACCTTGTACACAGGTTATTCAAGCGGAGGTCAATGTGCTTTTAGTAGGACTGCACGTAGACACTGAAATGCTCACAGCCTGAATGAGAGAAATGATCTTTAATATCATCTGTGCTCTTAGAAGTCCAAGGCTACATCTGCGTCAAGACTGATTAATTCATGCAGGGTAACACATTAAAAAAAAAGGCTGTTTGTAACTGGCTAGAAACAGGAGAGACACAGACGGTGGGGGACTTCATGCTGGTACCTCAGCTGCAGACACAAGTGACAGGAGGCCAAAGGCCAATGCCTGCTTCCCCTTTCTCCTGGTGTCAAAGGGCCACAGACTCAGTTGCGCTGTACAAGGTTATTTCTAGGTGATGATGAAGACCTTTTTGACCCTAATTTAAGCAAACATGAAAGCATGAATGCTTTAAGGAATAACTCTGTGAAAAAGAGGTTTTAAATCAACTGCTCTTCAGAGAATAGCACTTTGGTGCATTTACAGCACATCTTCTTGGTTAGAAGATCAGTTGGAAACTTTAGTGAAGGAGAACTATGTAAAATCCTACATTGACAATCAATCAAATAAATATAAAGCTCTGTGTGTGTGCGTATATAGGTATAAAACTGTGTGAGATTTCCAGATACCTTCTCATGTCAGTGGACATGATATAAAAAAGTAAAGAAATCTGGAGATACTGTTTCACAGCATGTATATGCCTCTTTCAAAGTTGCAACCTGCACAGAGGTGATAGAGATAAGGAAATGAGACACACATGTGGTGTGGGATTATAAAAAGCTTATGTCCTCTTCCAAGGAAGATTCAAACAGGCACTTTCTTTTTAAAACAACAAATAATAATGGGTCATACAATGTGCACATGACTTGATGTTGAGGGACTTGATGTTGAGGCTTTTTGAAGTAGCAGTGAGAGAACTGGTCACACAGTGCCTGTTTTCTTGAGTAATGCTCTGCTGTTTACTCAGTTTCTGAAATATGGAAATCTGTTGCCAGTTGTGTTCCCAGTATGAAGGTCTTGCACTCTTTGTGCAGGGAAAAGTGGTTAATTTTATGAGGAAGAGAGGACTTGCTTTCATTTTGCCTCAGTGAGTTGCTTGCTAGTGTATCTTCTCCAGGTAAAAGGAAGAGCAGCAATGCTTGGTGAGGCAATCTCTTGAGACCATGTTAAAGCACACGTGGGCTAACAAAATGTTGTTCCTGATCTTGAAGTACTTTATAAATGTTGATTGTAAGTTATTAAATTATTAGGTTGTTGTTGTTATTATTATCATTATTAATCTCAAACAGGACTGCATAGTGAAGATTATATTAACAAGGGCAGCCTGTGAGCCCTGGTAAAAGGGATTATCATGCTGAGCCACTGCATTGGTTTGCAAAGCAAAATTTGAGTGAGGAAGTGCAAACTTTGCATTTTGCATCCTTTTGGTAGCATGGCATTTGTCCTTCAGATAAGCATCACTGTTTCATTTGACCTTATCTCCCTTGTTCCAGGTTAGTGGTGATATGAACTGTAATCTGACGCATAGCTCTCTCACTTTACAGGGCAGATTTTCTCAGGTGTGATAAATTAATATTCCAAATGGACCTTTCTCTTTCGTCTTCAAGGCAACAGATCTACTAGCTAGATTTCTGTCCCCACCTGCCCTCATCTATGCTGTTCCTCTCTACCTCTGCCCCTTTCTGAATAAGAATTAGTTTTTCAACAATTAATTTACCTCACTACCTCTGTGGGGCACTAACTAAATTTCAAAACCTCTCTCAGACTAGCAACACAATCGTGCCCTTCCATCCTAATTGATGGCTCTGCTCGAGACTACAGCAGGCCCAGTTGAGACGCAGGGAGCTGAGGGTAAGTGAAGAGCTGAAACCCAGTTCAATCTAATTCTTAAATGGATGCTAGGAATCCCCCACACATATAAGTTTATCATTTATTGCCTGTAATTTTCTCAACTAGTTCCAAATTTAATGATCACTTTCAGCTTTGGTTTTCTCTTCTCATTAACGTGCCAGTGACTATGTATAATCTCTGCATAAAGTCAAAAGCAGCTTACATGGTAATTACAGTGGGAGTACAGCACCTACAGTTCAAGATAGTCATCCATGAGAAAGTGCTTGCATGACAGTTAAGGTGCTGAGATTAAGTTGTACATTTTTCTTGTACTGTCCCAAAGCTATTTTATTAGTGGCTCAGCTTGATGGTGGTAAACTTTCGAGAAGGAAACAACAGAACTGAAGAGACCAAGCACAGTCCTTTGCACATACAGCAGAGATTTCTTGGACATGATGAACTTCTGAGGTCATAGTTTTTTGTGGAGTCATATTGTTGAGTAACTTTACATTTACCCCGTAGTAATTATGATGTAGTGGGTTGAAAATTCCTCTTTTACACTGTGGAAGATACTTTGCATCCACTTTTTTTCCCAGGAGCAAATGAAAACAATTCTGACTGAACAAAGCAGAAGGAAACTCCAAATGTATGGTAGAAACAGAAGACCTTTGTTCCCTCTGTTAACTCAGAACTAGCATTGGTTACTTCATTTTAGACCCCTCTCAGCTGGAATGACTAGTGTCAGAGGGGCAATCGCTAGAGAATACACCATATCTGTCTGTTGTCCAATATGGAAGAGAGTATGTATTAACTTAGACTGTCTCCATGAAGCAAGTTGTGAATTTAATTTTGGTTTTCTTTTTGACTGTTGCAGCAGAAAGATCTCAGAGTGGCACTGTATTTTGCAGTCAGATTTATAGCAGATTGATGGAGAAGAAAATGGGACAGGTCTGCTCACCCTTCTTGCTATACCTCTGGTGTTGAACAGACCATTAACATTGACAAGCACCCAGGGGACGGGGGAATGTACGGGCGTATTTGAGCAGCACTATTCAGTGCTTTTCATTTACAACAGAAAAATCAGTTTAAACCGTGAATATCCATTTATTGTTTACTTCCTTTTTTGTGTTTGCTTGATTCTGCAGAAATGTGTATGTATGGTTAAAATGGGAGAGACGCACTTGTAATCCTTTTGGATACTACCTGGTGGTGACCAGTGGATCCAACAATAGCCTGCTTTACCAGCAGAGACTCTCAATAAGAAACCACCATCTTCAACTGCAAAAGCCTCTAAAGCAGAACTTTGTACTTTCATTAAATCAACAAAAATGCATTTATTTAAGAGCAGCTCCATTTAGTAACTAAATTCTTAAATCCTCTCTGTCCTGAATTTTGGATAGCTCATTCCCTGATGCTTCAATATAACTATGTCCATCCTGCTGTAAGAAGTGGGATACCCTGGCAGATATAATGAACACAATTCAGATGTTAATGCCGCTGTTGGTCTCCCAGGAAGCATATGGAAGATGCTGAGGGGTACTTGGTCACAATTAAAGATATTAAGCTAAAAGGAAGTGCTGTGGGTAGATGAATGTTTTCATATATAGGCCTCATTTGCAAAAAATGAGTGATTAAACTCAATCCAGTCTCTCTATAGTACTCTGGTGGTTAAGTGAGAAGGGGAAAGACGTTCTGGAAGTCTGTGATGGAAAACGTGAACATTAACTCAGAACAGGAACTCCTCATGTTCTTTACAAAATGCAGATACCTGTAATAGATACCAGTTCTACTGGAGAAAGGCTTTAGGAAATGTTGGTTAACTTTTAATTCATTTCAGTATAGGACTGTTGTCCAACATCTCCCTGCTCCGTGCACTTTCATTCTGAAATGTGGTACTCAGAAAATTTTGAGTTTTGTGTCTTTTGTTGTTGGTTTTAGATTGACAAGTATGCTCAGCGGGATCTGAAGAAAGGGCTTCATTTGTATGGGACAGATGGAAATATTGGCCTAACTAATGCATGGAGCATCATTCAAACAGATGTAAGTCTGAGCTTTTTTTTTTTCTTCCTCTCTACACTCTGGGTTCTGTTACAGCATGTTGTGGGTGTGAACCTAATTAAACCTCCAGATCCCAAGCCAATCTCTTCCTCCCACCTAGTCAGCACATTAGCAACCAAATTCTCTGCTTTTTGTAACAAATGGTAATTTTTATTTATTTCTCCTTTAACCAAGATAGCTTATTTCTTTTAAAAATTTATATTGTGTTGATACCTAGATATCATATAGCTCTGTGCTGTGCAGAGAGTGAAGGAGATGGTCAGACAGGAAACAAGCAGTACATTTTCTTTAAGTCAAAGGGACAACTTATGTTGGAATGAAGAGTAATAGCGTTAATAACAAAGAACCACTTCAACCCCTTTTCATTTCTGTCCTGTCTCCTTTCATTGCTATTGTTGGTTTCCACTAGTGTAGTCAAAATGGAAACCGTCCATGGTGTTTACAACCTCCTCCTGCAGTCAATACATTTTTCCCAGCAGAATTCAATCATTCTCCATCACAGATGGGCTGGGAATGCTTTTTGCTATGTTGCCACCGCTGTTGCATCCTTCTGATACTCTGACAGCACTCTGCCAGTGTTTGTCTCATAAAGACTAGTGAACACTATAGCTGGCTCCCTCCTTTTGTCCTTGTCTGGCTTGCTGAGGAAACACCATCACTGACAGTTCAGGTTTATTAGCTCTGTCCTTCTCTTTTCATATTCAGTTCAATCAGTTCTCTTGGGGGTGATCTTTCTGATTTGATTTTCTCTGCTTCTTGAATCAGGAAAAGTGCTCCAACTTTTATTCTGCTTTAGGAAGAAACACTTGTACTGCCTCAGCTTCACTCAAAAAATCTTGTATAGCTTTCTCAATTTCTCCTTCAGAGGTGCTAGCATGGTACAGACAGGCAGGGCTTGAGTCTTGCCACTGATGTCTTAAATTGGCCAAAGATGATAACCTCTCCCAATGCTTCCAAGGTTATATGAACTATTTGAGATGATGAATGGGCTACCTACCACATTCTGATACGATAAACCTGCTCATTTAGCTTTTACTTCCTCTATTGCCATTTAGGCTGAAATCCCGAACATCTTTCAGTCTGATAGTGTCAAGATTCACATGTAACTCTTCTGTACAACATAAGATAACAGGAGCGGCAGGCTACTAAGGGAAAAGGTCTGAGAAATTAAAAATTTGGGGTCACTAACAGAGCAAAAGAACTGGTTGGCCAAATTCCATGTGCATCTTTGGGGCTGCGGGAGCTGGCTGTACTGAGTGCAGTAGGTTGACAGCAACGGTACTGTGTGTGAAAGACAAACAGCTCAGGTCCAGCAAACAAGCTAATAAGCTTTCCAGTCCTGCACCCTAACAACTGCATGTGGAAGGTACTTTCGGTTACCTTTAAAAGGCTTCAGCATCTTGCAATATTTTTAATATTTTTCTCTTCCAATACTATGATCAAATATGAGAAGGCATCAATTACTGACAAGAGAAATGCATTTTGTGGTGCTAGCCCAAGAGTAAGCCATGTGAAAAATAGATAAAATTTTTAATATCATTGCTTATATCAAACAATATTAGATGTTTTACTCTTTTACACTAACTTAACTCTGCTTAGTAAAAATGTAGTAAAAATTACTAATAATAAGACGTTTGCAGTAAATATTAATCTGGTTTCAGTGACACCCCAAGAACTGTTAAAAGCATATAGCAAAGGTGGGGGAAAAAGCATTATTTGGAGGACTTATGGGATACAAACCCCATGCTTCTGCTCCCCTTTCTGTAAAATAAGTGTAACAATACATACTATGTCTAGTTCACCTAGTCACATTTTTTCAAGATGTTCACAAGTTGGATTGGATTCAGAAAAGATGTAAAAGAATAATGAGAATTTTGGAAATTTACATTACAGTGAGAAATTTTAAAAGCTTTATATAACCAGGAAAAGATGAAGTAGTGATGTGATTGCAGTCGTTAAAAAGAGAGCAGGAAGGGAAGAGACTTTTGGAAGAAAAGGGCTCTATAATTGATCCAAGAGCTAAAAACTCAAGATACAGATATCTGATGGCAGGATGCCATTGTACAGCAGGATGGTGCAGTCTTTTTCTCTGAAGTCAAGACAGGGTTTTTTGTCTAAAAGAAATGGTCTTGTTCAGTGACAAGCTTGGGTTTGAGGCAGGACACAATAGTCTGTGGTCTGTGTAGTGCTACAGATCATGCTCAATTGTCTTAATGGTTCCTTTGGCCTTGAAGCCTATTACAGTTTAAAGAGTGTCTTATAAGTTTCAGATGAAACTAATGTTAGCTAGGTCTTAGGGGCCTAAAAGGTAATAGGAAAGTGCCATCTCGCAAGCCATGTACAGTCATGTTACATCACTCTCTTTTCTAACATGGCAACTGTGAAATTACCATGCACTGTCTTGACAGTACCATAGTGTTAAAGTCTCCATGCTCCCCGTGCTGGGCACTGAGGAGAAAAGCAAAGAGCTCCCACAGATCCATTTTAATCGCTCTGCATAATTGGTTTTCACATGTATCTTTCAAAACTATTTAGGAATAGACTATTGCAGTGGTGCAGCGAAGGCAATCCCAGCATGGTTAATTATGTAAAACACTTTGCATTTGAATAGCGCTATGTAAATGCCAAGTATTACTTTTTGTGTTCAGTAATAATCATTATCCCTTACATCCCTAATCAGTAGAGTGTAATCACTGATAGGAGGATTAGGGCAATACAGGGGACTTTCTGAAAGGAAAGTCCCAGCCCAGGCTTGCTGTTTGCATTCTGGTTCCTAAGAGACAGCTCTCAAAAAAACCCCACATTAGAGCTAACCACGTTACCGTATAGGATAATGTCTCAGCACTGACTTTTCTAATGGGGCCAGTAGACATCAGTCATCGGTTGAGCTATGGGCCATGTCTGTACATGGATGGAAAACAGCAGCCTCAGAAGAAAGCATGACAGGTAAAAAACATGACCGTAACAGAAATAATGAGTCCTTCTCCCTTGTCCTCTCTGCATTCACACTCCTTTCTTTGCAAAAGTATTTTTCAGAGCTTGAGCAGAAGGATGGCACCCATCATGGTTAAAGTAGTAGGCTCAGACATGAGGGATCTAAGCTCTGGCATAGCTCTTCATTTCTCCTGCTATTAGCTTAGCCAGAGACCATCCCCACCCTGAGTTCACTAAGTACGACTGTGTATGGCAACTTTTGCTTAAAGAAGGGGAAAAAAAGTGTTTCCAGAAACAGAACCACATTTAGATGGCATTTGATTTCTGTGGGTCTGGCCAATCACAAATCAGAGGGGGGTTTTGACTGGGAGTATGGATACCCAGTGTGCACACAGTGACTTGTGAGTGGTGATTACTGGATTTCTTCTTCAAGTGTGAAAAGCCTGAGCACCTTTTTGGGGGGCTTTCTTCTCTGAAGCCTTTGTGCCTTAAGAAATGGTTTTCCTCTTTTTAACGGAAGCATACAGTTCCTAAGTAACTAGGAAAAAGGAAAAAGCAGGGTCCATCAGGCCCGTCTTTAAGGAGGAAGTTGCAGTTTTGGACCATAACTGATCTGTTCAGATTACTGATAAAGGAGTTGGGTTGAGCTGCATACATGCAACGCATGTTAGAGGAAAAGCACTAGGCTCATTCTGCAGTCGTATTAAGCCCCTAGGTCAGGGAGCTGTTTCAAATTAGAGCATTTTATTGATTTCTTTTTAATATCTTCAGCTAATCAAACTCGCAGACTTTCTCAATAGAGTTTCAAACCTTAAAAGGATCAGAAACACAAGCAGGTGACTTTTGTGTGTTGTGACTGAAGACCACGAAAGCTTACAAGCTGATTTTAAACATGACTAAAATTCTAACAGTTTAGGATGTAAGTTACACTGAACTGCATTATACTCCTTATCAACCAGAACCGGTTAACGTTTAAGGTGGAGATCATTAGGAAATGAGAAATAGGCATTAATTTTTAAAATGTTGCTTTATCCCCAACATCTTTGTGATCAATATTTGAACACTTCTCCTTTTAACTAACCAGGCAGTAATTTGAGAGGCATGCAGAAAATGCATTAGCTTCACTAAAGTGAGCAAATTCAGCTCACTTTTACTGCTGTGTAATGCTTTCATGTCTATTTAGACCACTGTAACTGAGAACAAAATTTGACCCATCTCCCTCTACCCCAGTCATTGATTCTGTTAGATCAAACCATGCTTCAGTATTACTGCTGAAGTAATCCAAACCACCCATTAAACATGATTTTAGAGTAAAACTATCTTATTCACCACTTTTTACAGTGATGGAGGAAAAAGGCTTATAAAAGACACCCTACCTTGTCCCTAGCTCTTGTCACATTCGCAAACCCGGAAAACCAGGAATGTCTGCAACAAGGATTGGGTGTCTGTTTACCTTCATGAACCCTATCCCAGCCTGGGTGATTTTGCAGGAATTTGGCAAAGAAAGTAAGGCCTACTTAGCCTTCAATACTGGGATTGCCTGTAAAGTACATACAATAATCCAGTTCCTTAACATTTCTATTTAAGATAGAAACTTTGTGTTTAACATTAATTACCAGCCCTAGATACCCCATGTTAACACAAAAATTAAGCTATTTGCAAGCAGCGTTGCATTCCATAAATACAGCAGAGAGACCTCAGTGCTGTTTGGTGCTGCTTGGCTGGGAAAAGCACTCCTCAGCAGTATGACCTTTGACTGCATCATTATGTTGAGCAGCCCCTGCGTGTCCTGAGCTCTTGGGAACTGACAAACCGCTTCAGAACCCCACGGGTAATCAATAGGGGAGTGATTTAAGTCTCTAACAACGGAGGGGAAAAATGCGTTTTGACATCTCAGGAGACAGAGCCTCCCAGATGAAACATGTGAAGCAAACAGCAGCGTATTGTCAGTATTCCTGGAAATGTTCAGCAGCAGGAGCTTAGATACTCAGAGGCATTTGACAACCTTTTGCTTGTTTCAGCAGCTCTGCCTAACACTGTACGAATGTCCCCAGAACTACTACCCGATTGTCACCTTATGCCATAAGTACCCGCATTTGTTCATGTGGGCAGGCACAATTGCATCTAGTCATGCATGCTGCTTCACACCTGCAAGCCCTAGAATCAAGTGACCTGAGGTGTCCAAGTCAAGGTGTCTTAAAGTTACTGCTATTCAAGACGGTAGCTGACATTTTTAACAGATTACCCCCTTTTAAAGTGTGTTCAGTCTGGGTACCCCAAAATAAGCACTGTTAGTTTGTATTTGTTTCTAAAAAACGTGTATTGTTCCCTGTTGAAACTAGGAACAGAACTAATCAATTAGGCAACATTGTCTAATTTTATCACTTCACTACTGAAGGGAACAAGACAGGACTGTAAATATGACCAAAAAATGAATGTGGTTGTAGCAAGAATCAAGTCTGCAATTGCTTCATGACAGTCAGGCAGTTTTACTTGCTGGCATTGACAGAACATCAGCCTTTGTGGAAGAACACGAAGTCTGGTCTAACTGGCTACAACAAACTGCTGGTGACAGAAATTATCCTTTATGTGACCTGAGCTTTCTCCATCCTCCAAGTGTAGGACTGTCTCCAACTATCCTTGCACAGAAACCTTGTCAATTTTAAAAAAGAGAACATTGATCTCAAATCTAAGAGGACTCTAAAAAAATCTTACTTTGCTCTTTGTTCTCAATATTCCGTTTTCTTCTAATAGTCCCTCATCTCCCTCAACAATTTGGCTACTTATCATTCAGCTTCATGCACATAGGATACATCAGTCGCTTGTCACATGATCCCAAATGACTCCCCCGCTCTCTCTTCTCTACTTGAGCCTCCATAATGAAGTCTGTGAATGTACTGAGCTCTCAGCTTATCGTAGCTTTTTGGCTACTACCTGGACTCCTTTGCTGAATCTATACTGGTGACCCATTCAATCCCACTGCTGCCTGTTTCCCTGTTCTTGCCTCTTTGACCTACTGCCGTGGGTCAGTGCCTCTGCTCCCTAGAGATACCATTCACTGGACTTGGTCCTCACTGAACACTGCTCGCTCACTTGCTCGTGTGCTCTCTGGTCTCTGTGGTGTTAGTACTCTTCTGTGTTCGTCACCTCCTCTCCTTTAGGATTGTGCATCATCCACTGCTTAATTCCATCGCTCATCTTTCATTTGTCTTCCAAAGACATGACATCTCTTCCAGTTATAGTTCCAGACATTATTCTTCCAGTCCCAAGACTATTGATCCTCATGCTACTTCATTCTTTTTTACCCTTGATCTTTTCTTAGCCCTTTCTCCCATTGCTGGGACTGCCTTGTCTGTCAGCAGTGGCAGGCAAGTATCAATATTTAATCCTCTGCTCTTGTACGATACACAGAGGATCTGCGTGGGCACGCAATGTGTGTCCAACTGCAGCTTGTCTTTGCAACTGCATGTCCTCCTATTTCTACCTTCTGGCTTACCAGGAAGTTTTACTCTTTGGAGTCCCAACCCTAGATCATGGCCTAGCTACCTTCTGCTTCACAGGCTCCATAGGAACAGCTGTCCTCAACCTGTTAGTGAGCCCTTAACTACAAAACCTGTACTTCATCTTCATCTCCTTATTCTGTCAGACTTTGACACCCTCAGACATGCAATATTATGGGGAAAAGGGGTCTAGTCCCAATTTATGCAAACTTGTGTCACTTGTGTTTGGCCAGAACATCACTCAAATGTCAGCCCTTACTGTTGCACTCTCTACATCACAGATGAGCCACGTTTTCAAGGCTTGCTATTTACAAGCTGTCATTTCTCACTGTCTATCAAAGAGCTGCCTCCTGACTCTAACGATGACAGCCTGCAAGACCTTCTTGTTAGATTTCCAGATAAACCAGCTTTCCTCAAATGCATGCCATGTGTTCCATGCCGCTCCTATCCGCTTTTGGGACCTGTTACGCACAGAGCTCCTGTCTTATGTTAAGGAATACAGCGGAAAAAAAGAAAGTCACAAACTTTTTTTACTTTCAAGTTGGTTTGTACAAAATGAAGCCTGTAAACTCACAAATCAAACAGTTGCAAGCTAAGGATTGATTCCTGCCATGGGCCAAATCAGAATTCTGAGCAGAACCTTGGGGGGATAGATGTTAGTCTGGGAAAGATTTCTGACTTTTGCTTGGCAGAAGAAAAACAGTGCTGTGAGCACTGAAACCTCTCTATCGTGGACTACTTTTATGTGCGTGCTTGAAGCGTTGTATGATGTGTGAGGCAATGCGTGACACCTCTGCCCTCTATTGGTCTCGAATGGCAGATCTTGTGTGTGTGACAAGACTTGAACACTCAGCCCTCTGTGCCCATAGACTCTACAACTATTTTTTTTATATATATATATATATGGAAAACTCTCCCTTAGCCCAGTGTAAACATCGGGATCTGAATTAGGTCCTTGGTCCTGGTGATGCAGACATCTGCATGATTATGAGTCTATCAGAAACAAGAGGAACGGTCTCTATAGGGACGCAAAAAATACTGTACAGGCTTATATAAAATCACACTTAAAAAATAAGATCTTGGCAAGTCATTTTGGGGTTAAGCAGGCTGGCATAGCCTTGAAAAAGTGTGAAGTACTGGCAATAGCAGAGAGCAGTTCTGCAGCCCAGTGTCGTCTTGTTTTACTCATTAGTGGTAAACTGTCTAAATACTGACAAATTCATACTTGTGAGTTCACATAGGAGTGACAGGTGGTGTATACATCTATGTGGTAATGAGTATTAGCTTATTTTGTATCACAGGAATATACAAGTTCCCAGAGGGGAAAGATGGTCACAGAGCCATTCCCTGTACTATGTATATTTCCTATACCTTTCATCCTGCTACCAAAGTCAAACAAACCTTCTGATTTACCGCTAACATAGTCATTGTACACTGTCGTCATATGCAGACAGTTAATGCAGACACTTAAAGCACCGCTGTTTGTTTAGCAGCATCAGGTGATGACATTAAGGAACTGCACCAAAGAGAGAAGAGGAGGAAATCCATCTTTTACTGACTAAGACTTTCAAAGGTGATCAGTAATTAACAGCTTAGAGAGAAATTTGCCTTGTTAAGTTCAATCATGATTTCAGAAGTAGTGTGCGGTAGAGATCCCAGTAGCTTCATCTCCTGGGTGCTGTATCTGTATCTTAAATATTTTTTTTTTCCTGGCAACAAGCTGCAAATCATTGTTATAATCCTGCTCAATCACATCAACTCTTAACCTCAGTACTTGGCTGGGGTTGTCCTGCTTCAGCTCCTGCAGTGTCCTGCCACTGCAAGTAGATGCCTTTGCTTCTTGTATCAATATTAGCTACAGGCAAGACCATATTTAAACATAATAAAAGAGTGTGTGTGTGTGTAAAGCTCAGGAAATAATACTGTATTTCTTTAAAATTTCAAGCCTCTGCTGGTGTAATCGAAATGTACTGAATGTCCAACTCAGAGGCAGAAGTCAGAATGCGCAGAAGTCAGTGACAGATCATACTTACGGTATCGTCTCGGCTCTTCTTTTTCCAGTTCAGATGCTGTGGAGTCTCCAACTACACTGACTGGTTTGAAGTGTACAATACAACCCGGGTGCCAGACTCCTGCTGCTTAGAATTCAGTGAGAACTGTGGACTCCATTCCCCAGGGACCTGGTGGAAAGCGGTGAGTAGCTCAGCAGCTGCCTTGCAACCCAGGTGAAGGGCCGGCAGCTAGTCATCTGCAGGGCTATACAGATGATAAGGTGTTTTGTACCCTTACTCATCTTTAATCAGGTAGTTTCAGAAGGCTCATGTTGAGCTGTGGCTTTTTGACCTCCAATGAAACTACCAATTTAATTATTTTTACGAGCTGAAGGCTTTCCTTTTAGTAGGCTCCAAGCTGTTGTTTCACATTGCAGACAAGTATCTTCCAACACTGATCCGGAGCACAGTCTAGCTAGACCTAGCTAGGAAATTACAGGATTGTCCTTTTAATGTCCCACTTACTGGAGTCAGGTAGAGATAAAGGCAAATGGCTCATCCACACACATAGCACAAGCCCTGGAGCAGCAGCCATAGCTTATTGTGGCCCAGGCAGTCATGAGGCAAGAGGACTGTGTGAGCCTGGACTGCTCTGCTCCTGCCAGGAACCCTAGTTCAGGGGCTTCCACTGCACAGTAGGAGAGTGGGAACTGTTCCACTGAATTGCCAGCAGTGGTTTTTTTTGCAATGAGTTTCTGCGCTTGCCTGTAACGAAATTCAAAACTCCATGGGATAATTTCACCAATGTCCTCAGCAAGATCATTCCAGAGCAGCTAGTCAGAGCTTAAATTCTTCAATGAAATTAGCTCAGCAATTCTTTGTGCTAATTTACAGGTACTGCAATTACCCAGGAGAGGTGTGGAGTAAGGCTATATGATGAAGTGGAATTATAAGAAAGTTTTGCTGTTCTAATGGTTTGTGAAGACAATGAGTAAAGCTCTCTTGGCCACTTTCTAGTGAGATTTCATACTCATGGACTGGCACTGGCAGAGGCTGAGTTCCAACCAAACATTCAAAATCCAACCCTTCTACCTCTTAAAGTTTTGAATTTAAGGACTTACTTAAAGAAGATCAGTGCAGGTTAACACCATGTCTTCTGGTGGGCATTAATAGTTTTTCCTTTATACATACGTGAAAGCCACTAACTAAAGACTGAATGATTCTTGGCTATGTACATTTACAAGATAGAGGGCACAATTTCTGCACAAAGTTGTCTTACAGACATTATTTATTATTTACACATTATTTAAAGAAAGGTTTCACTTGGGCCAATTCCAGCCTCCCCAAAGCTGGGCCAGGAGCATGAGGTTACAGCTACTGCAGAATTTAAAGCAGGAAGAAAATAATGGAGAAGCGTCCAAACTGCAATTTGAAATGATGGAAAAATGGTATGAAATGGGCCCATGTGCAGCAGGAGTGGCTACTGACCAGCTCTCACTGGAACTTTTGGGTTTGATATACATAATACAATAAATATTTGTTTTCCTGAAACATGGAGAAAATGGAAGGCTCATTCTGAACTTCTAACTGCTTCTAGTTGGTTTTTAGAGGTCAATGAGGACCCAGATCCTCCACTAGTTTATTTTTAAATTTACTGGCCCAATTTATATGGAGCAGTGCTCATACAGCATTTTGCAGGTGCACTTTTTTTGTGTCATTACAATTAGTACTCCATGTTCAAGCTTCAACCCAGAAATACACAGTAGTTGCTCCAATGCCGAAATGATAATCCAGGCTACCAAGCAGCTTAGTCTGATCTGGCTCTTTTCTGTCTGTATATTCCCAGGGGAGTAGAGCTGTGTGTTTATGGCTAATACAATATTCTGGGTTTTTTTCCAGCCTTGCTATGAAACAGTGAAAATATGGCTCCAGGAAAACTTACTAGCAGTGGGAATCTTTGGATTGTGCACAGCTATGGTGCAGGTACAGTTTAATATCAGTTTTCAAATCCTAATTAATCATAATGAAATAAGTAACCATAGATCCAGATATACTCTGCCCCAGGCTGTTTTAATAATGCAAAATTTTGAATTATGTTAGAGTAAAACTCTGCAGGATTTAAGTCTTTTATGTTTTAATTTAGTTAAAATACTATGTACAAGGTACAGAACTAGGAATACTGCACACATTTTCTGTTTTAGGATGCACTGCAAAGAGCAGGCGCTTTACCAACTGGTTTATCTAAGGCTTAGACTAGGCTCAATAGAGAGGTAGTTCTCGCCATCCAAAGACAGAAGCCTAGTCAGGGTAGGGTGAATTTTGCCTTTTAGGGTACCTGTGTTTGTCCAGTAATTCTCCAGAGAGGACCATCCACTTAGGCTAAGTATCTACCTTCAAACTAGCCTAAAGGTAGCTTAAGTCTTCAACCCCATCCTCAGTCCTAGGGTAAGTTACAAGTTGGCATGTTGTTACCATTACTCAGCCTTGCCAATAAAACCATGCTGCTTTTCTATTAATTGCAGGGAAACGAGGTAGGTAAGATTAGCATAGACTTGCCTATCAGGTTTTTGACCTGCAGTTATTTCCAGCATAACTTTGGTCAGTCATCAGTGTAGTACCTTGGTCTCTTACATACCTGTGTCTTTAATCCAGCTTGCCATGGTTGTGGCCATAGTGTAGCCCCAATGGCACAAACCTTAGCCTGAGGATACACAGGCGAAAGCTGTGCTGGAGCTCAGGCTGTTTCAGCTGTATGTCAGCCCTCCATTTATGGCCCAAAGTCACATTCCTGAATGCAGTGAAGATGGAGCTTTAATTTCCAGCTCCACCGCTCTCTCACAGTCAACATATAAGCAAAGGATGGCATCACTAAGCTAATTAATACTTTTTTTTTTTTTTTTTTATTTTGCATGGTGTACCACTACCAGCAGCGAGAGAGAGCCTGGGATCAGAATTCCACTCATATTCCCACTAATGTCAGATCAGGCAGAATGGCATGTATCTTACTCTCTCATATGTCACATATTGGCTGCAACTTACTAATGCAAATGCCTGACTCCTTGTAGGCCCAAATTCAGTAGAGTTTTGGTTTTTGTTTTCCAGTATAGTAAGCAGATATGCTTAGGAAAAAAGATAAGCACAACAAGATCATATGACAGAGAGACAATGTAAGAAAGACTGTTGTTAATATATTACCATATTTTAAAAAACAGCTTCTGAACATCTATTCAGCATTTAGGGAGTCTTTAAAAGATACATTAAAAACCAGCAGCCCATGTCAGACTCCTTCTCACAGACTTTGATTATATAGAGGGTATTTAAGAGAATACTATCTTTCTGACAGAAAGAAAACACTTCAGACAATGTAATATTCCCAGTAAGTGCTGTGAAATACAGAGAAAACACCTCAGAACACAAAACATTTGTAGTCTGTCTTCAGCTGCACTATGTGATTGAATTTAATTGATGAGAAAACTTTTGACGCACTGTCACCTGAAATGAATTGGGCTCCCTCTGTTGTTGCTGTTACAGTGTTGTTCTGGCCCTAAGCATGTGACAGCTTGTTTTTCATGTTAACAATCTTATTAGAATCATACAGTGACACAACTTGAAAGACATACAGCACATGTGGCAGAAGAATCATCATGCATGCTTGAAATTATAAAACAAATTCAGCCACCAAGGTTTTATTATGCAGTGTCCCTGAAGGTGTTCCTTTGCTAGGAAGTAGAAGGCAGTGTTCAGGGGATACTTCCAGAAGGCAAGTGCTTACTATAAAACAGCACACTAAAGCCTAACAATCTTATTTCACCATGGAAGAATGGGAAATGAAGATAACAGCTTTACAAACATTTTTTTTTCTTTATTTATAAAGTAGTATGTGTGTTATTCACATGCTCTTTCAAAATACTCATTAACAGGAACTACTCTTCATGTAAAGACTAAATTTGAAGTGGTCAAATTAAGTGCTTAAAATAGAAAATTTTGTATGAATTCTACCTGACAAACCTTTATTTCAATGACAATTTTTACAATGGTGTTGCAAAGGAATAGTAACAACCACTTAGTACGTTCATGTAAGTACTTCAACTGGAAGGAAAATAAGACTCTTTTCCCCATCCCCTTTTCTGATGAAGTAATCTGTCAGCGGCAACACAGCAGGTCAGTAGTTGGGCCGGGAGAAGAACCACCACCTCCCTGCTGCTTGTCTTGAATAGGCCGACTAGAAAGACACATACATTGTTGATGAGGCATTGATGGTTATGATTAATGCATGGACAGGCTCCAGTGATTCCCCCACAGGAACCTGTGCACACATATGCTTGGAAAAGTAAAGTACAGTCAAGCAAACTGCAGCATCCTTTGGGTCAAGGATGAACCTGATTGTCTTTCAAAGCAATAGCTACAGAGATAGCCCCACAGCTGTGGGTTGCTACTATAAAATATTTTCGAGCAAAAGACATCCAAACATTTCTTTTCAATATACCTCTTCCCAGTATCTGGTGGCTGCTTTTCGTGGAGAAATCAACTCTCCCGTGCTGTCATTGTTCATTCTGTAAAACAGCAATACAGATAAGGACAAAAGGCAGACAGGAACTAGGAACACAAGGACATGAACCGGCAGGAAAAGCAGTATGTGGTGTGTCTTCCTGTGTGTGAACAAAACCGGTGTAAGCATGCTTTTCTCTCTCCTTCCCCCCCTCTCCCCCCCCGCAATAAATAGGGGTGTTTTTTTTTACTTACCGAAAAACGATTGATTGGGGTTTTGTTTTTTCTTTTAGATTCTCGGACTCACCTTTGCAATGACCATGTACTGTCAGGTAGTCAAGGCAGACACCTACTGTGCATAGGATACCATTCCCAATCTTTCTGCTCCTCCTCCAAAGGACACAGGAGAAATCTCCTTCATGCTCATTCATGTCTCTGCCCCCACCCCCCCTTTGTACTATAAACTGTGTATAATGCTATCTTTCTGAAGATTTTGTGAATCACCCCACTTTACTGAAGGAAGAAGAAAAGAAAAAGTCAGTACTTGAACTGGCACAGGTAAGAAGCAGCCTTGTCTTTAAACAGAAGAAAACCTCCAAAGAGCGATGGTTCCTTTTCCATGGCCTATGGCAAGGCAAAGGAGGCTGCTTATGAGGGGCTGATCTGCAAACCGATGTTAGGAAAAGATTGCACTGAGGCAACCTCTGCAAAACCTGCCAGGTTGCCTTCCCGCATTTCACGGTCTGGAAGAGAGGGTGTAGAAAATGAGTATTCTTCAGCATGGAAAGAAGGTACAGAGTAGCTAGCACTGAATGCAATTGTAGTTTTACTACAGTTTGTACACAGCTAAAATGTCAAGATCAAGCAGCCCTGCCTTCAAGCATCTCGATGATTTTGTAGCCAGGAGAGGATCATCTTCAGAAATATGTTATTTTAAAGGAGTATTTTTAATCTTATGCGCTACAAAGTCAGGCTTTTAATCAGAATCTGTACAGTGAGATCTGGCTATTAAGGGAAAACAATATTGGACATTGTCGCACTTACTAAGTGCCAGTGGCATACAGATGGTTGACTGTATATGTAATATATATTACATTCATATACACATACTGGTCTGAAAGGAGGTGAAAATATCCAGCATCTAACCTCAGAAAAGAGGGAACCTTTCGATCCCATTTTACATTCCAACTGAAATAATCCAGTATTATTTCTTGTAGGAGGCACTATCACTTATACCTCTGGGAAACAAGTAATTACTTTCAGATGTATCTTCATTTCAGTAAACAACTTGTGAGTGGGCTCTCTCTGTCATTCTACTATGGTTTTATTTATCATCCCTGTTTCAAGTTAGTCTGCCAAAAAAATATCACTCATTTCCACACTTGAAGATCCGTACAAAGCTGTCAGCTGTTCCTTCCCTGAATGTCACCATTTCATTAATTTACTTTGGGATATCATCATCTGCCGGTATGTTAGGGTTCACCTTGCTGAGGAAAAATCTTTTGCACATTGCTTATTTTTCTGAGAGTTATTAAGACTTCAGATGTTTTTATGCTTAGCTTTTTTTTTTTTTTCCCAGCTGCATGCTTACAACAGCCAAGACACATCAGTCTTTGTTAGAATGGGAGTCACCTCTCAGTTCTGTTTTTCAGACCCATCTCCCTCCACCTGGCTGTTGGCTAGAATATGCCCCACACTTTCTGGAATTTGCAGAAATCAAAATCATAACTCTCCTTAGCCAAAGAACAACCACCAGTTGTCCGATTTCCCCACCCTGCATTGGTAACTGAAGTAATTTATGTAGTACCCTTCTGTGCATACGTTCTAGTGATGAGGTTAAGAATCAGATGTTTCCTATTATTCAAACAAACAATTCCCCATCAGCAAGCAGCCCCAGATAATGCACATGCGACAGCGAGAAGCTGAAGCACCCCGTGGAAAGGACACAGCAGGGAACAGGCAAACAGAGCAGTGCAGCTGGCCTGCTCCCTGCAGCCAGCCTTTGAGGACCTCTCAGCCACTGACAATACACCAGAGGCACAACCATGGAAACGTGGTGCCCCGTTTTCCCAGAAAGCTCAATGCAGCCAATCCTACTGTGACAGACTAGAAGCATGCATCGAGTTCAGGCAAAAAAAGTTACCCTGTACCTTTAGTACTTACAACAGCAGGTCTCAGCTGAGTGACATTTTGCTTACTTTGATTTAAAGGCAATTTCCAGCAGTAAAGCTGGACTCGCCGACCTACAGCCTTGAACAGCCTCCTTAAAACCCGTAAATAACTTTTTTCCTGGACCATTGACAAATACCACTCTCACTGCTTAGGTTTTGGGGGTTTTTTTTCCTCTTTGCCGATTTCCTGCAGTCTACTCACCCTCAGGCCCAAACTACTCCATGTTTTGTGGGGAAGTGCTTAGGACAGTCTGGTGTGTGAAAGAGCAAGTATCTTCCAAAATCTTACCCCCCACCTTTACGCATCAACCTCTGTAGCATGGGGCATTTAGCTGTGCAGGCTAAGTTGAAAGTAATGTATTACTTGTGTGCATTTTATGTGGATTCCCACTCACTATCACAGCAACCTCACCACCACTAAAGGATTTTACTGCCACGCTAACAAACCTTGGCGAATGTTAACAGACTTTGACCCAAGACAGAGGTTAAACTGAGTGAGTAGTCCACACACAGGCACCCTGTAGCCCAAGCAAGAGACTTACTCTTGGTGTTACAACCACTACGGTCTCAATGCTCTCTGCTTCCTGAGCCCAGCTGACCTGACAACAGTCCTGCTCTTTAAAAGATGGTGTAAGTTCGTTCCTTCCCTCTCTCCACTCTGTTCCTTTCTTACCTGCATAGACACGATTCCAGGTTAGATGTACCATTAGTTCTTGCCATGGTTTATAGTTTGTACACACAGCTGCTCCTGCTGACAGCTCAGTTTCCACCGCTGAAAAGCAGCATAACAGAGTGATGAATACATTAATAAAACATTGATTTTTAAGAAAGATATAAAAGGTAGACAAGTCTATTTGTAGTGATCCCTACCATTAAAAATTAACAGACAGCAGGCTGATGATGGCTCAGTTGATAAGAGCAAACCGTTGTGCAACAGAGCTCCCACAGAGGGCAACTCATCAATTTGCCTGATGGTGGCATAGGGAGGAGAGATCACAAATTCTCATTCTGTGAGTCTCCCAATAATATGTGCTGAGCTCTTAGAGAAGACTGCTAGACTTCAGCTAAACCTACAAAAGAAACAAATGAGAAACAGAGACTGAAGACAAGTCACACTTTGTGGTTCCCTCTAATCATTTTCCACAGTTTAGGTGTCTTTACAACAAGACAAACTGCCTCACTTTTCAAACACACATATCTATAGGGAGTATAAGCAATACTCACTTTGTAAATCCCAGTCACTGCAACAGAAACATATGGCACTAACTGCTGAAAAGAAAGAAAGGAAGGAAAAAAAAAAACCAACACCCCACACCAGACCACACATTACTGCTAATAATTCTTTTTTTAAACACTACCCTTACACTGCCAACTGAGGTGCTACTGCAACTTGTTTATAATTTGAACTGGACTATTTTCTATATTTGATGTTATTAACTCTCTTCACACAGGCTGAATAGATGTTATGGTGCCTAAAGCATTACCAGCACAATCCAATTTCAAACCTCTGAACACACTGTGTATAACAAGCCACAGACTTACCATATTTTCTTTTTAAAAGCATTGCATCCTTTCTCTGCTGATGAGGTCAGAATATTTTGTGATATGTAACAGCAACAATTATTTTTTTTTTAAAAAAGAAGTTCCATATTATGCATAAAACTACATGTTGAACTGGTTAATTATAAAGAGATACCCTGTAGTACATAATACCCATTTAAAAGGCTGCTTATATCATATGTATGCAGAGCAACACAGAAGTCATTCCAATTGCTTCCATTAGTGTTTTGTCACTTTTAGTAAAGTCTTTTATATTATTTTCACTTATCTTTAAACATGAAGGAGGACTCAATACATTTAAATTAAAGACAGACCCAAAGGCAACAAAGACATTGAAGGAGAGCACTCCTTATTTATACTCATTGTTCTTTCTGCTTAATAACAAGATGTGAAGGCACAGGGCACATGGCTGGACCTACTGCATTCAGCAACATCAGGATTTAGCTTTTAGATTCAGTCCAATATACTTCTGGCTTTTCATCTTCACAATTATAAAAATATATATATGTGTATATATATTTAATAGAATATGGTTTATTTTCCTGTACAGTAACTGTCAGTAGCAGCCAAATCTTATTGCTTGTACAACAGATTTAGCTCCACATCTTATGGTGCACAATCACTGAAATTCACTCCAGTTTCTGTTCTATGAATACTTCTTTGTTCCCTCAAATAATATAAACTCTTAAAGGTTTATTCTTCCATTTAGTAATTACCATTTGAATGCAGCATTGTGCAATTTATAATATGGAGAGGAAGAAACTGCATAGAAGCTGTAAAAATATTTTATCTTGCATCAGCAATATGGCTGGTATGCGAATCCACCCAAATGCCTCACTTCTCACAAACTAATTAAGAACTGGTTACATCTTTCAGTGCACATGGCTCCCAGCTGCCTCTTCCCCTGTTCATAGATAGGACAGGAGGTTGTTAGCATGGAGAAAGTTGAAGCCATTCACTTACCCCTTAGCTTCATTGTTGTGCTATAAATGTGGCACACCAAAGGTAAGCAACAGAAACCAGCAGTTGATTGTGGCATTTATTTTAAAACCAGACTCTTTATTAACTTTGTCTGCAAGGATTCTTGCTAAGTGTGAATGATCCTCATAGATACCGAGTTAGACAATTCACAGTAAGAAAACAAGCCAGGACTTGCCATGGGAAATTTTGTTTGATGCCATTGTGAATTCTCCTAGATTGTCACTGGTATCTTACCACAGTGGGCAGGTCTCCTCAGTTCTTTGGATTTTGTTGCTGCAACTACAATGATACATTTTTGTGCATTCATATAAAGAACAAAATTTAAAAATATACATTTTATTTTTTAAAGTTATTAAATATTCTTTAAAGTTTACAACAGAATGTCTTTTGTATTCTTTATAATCATCTACACTACAAGCTATACAGTGAGTATATACAGACCCAAAGATGTGTGTGTGCAAGTGCACACACACAGTGTACGCAATACAAAAAAAATACACAGCATACTTTCTTGTCATTTCTCATTACTTATCTTTGATTTGACCCATCCTTCCTTAAATAAGAATAAAAAACCCCAAAATAAATCTATAAGTGGCTTACCCATTCCCAGGTAAATTTACACCACTTTGTTTCCTCTTAAGGGCAACCTGAAATTCTGTGATAGTTGATAACAATTCAGAAAATACTGGGAGATCAGGTTTACAGTGTAACAAAATACTTAGACCCGAAACCAATTATTTTCTGTTTAGAACTTGTCTGTTACTGATAATTTTGAAACAAAAGGACTTTCTTTTTCTGAGGTAGTTGCTTAGATTCAGAAATTACATAGAAAAGCTTAGAAAATTAACACCAGACTGTGTTAAAATGGAACAACTAGGAACATCTACTATGTCAGATCAGAAAAAGGTCTGGTTAGCCAGGTATCTTGTCTGAAGTCATGTCTAACACTGCCTTTTTCAATAGAATTTATTGTACCCTCCAGGTCAAACAGCTTCACAAGTGAAATTGCCTCTAAACTGGGTGCATTCTAAACACTACCACAGGCATACTGTTGAAAGTGTAAGGGTAGACATGGCCTGAAAGTGGAGGCCCAGAGGTTTTAGAGGTTGTTGCAGGAAACCTCATAAAGGATAACCCAAACCTTTGGTGGAAGTTTCTTACAACTCCCTCAATTCAGTAGGCACATTTATATTACTTGAATTTTCTTCATCCTGTTAAGTGTACCACTAGATGGTCTCATTAACCACATCTATCTTTAATCCCTTTCTGACTTTGTGAAACTTTCCACTTCAGTCTTATATTGTACCAGTGAATTTCACAATTTCATCATACTGTATACGTTTAAAAGAACCCTTCTTATATGGATTTTAACATGTTGCCTTTCAATTTCATTTATTCACCATTGGTTCTATACTTTAGGAATGCCAACTTAATGATTCTTACAGAAATATATGGACACAGAGCAGCTGTATTACCTGTACAGCCTAATTTGTCTTTCTAATACTAATAATGAAGCTTAAACCCAGGTAATAGAGTATGCTATTGATTTTCAAGATCCCATTGTTTCAAAAAACTAAGCCCAGTGTACCTTCACCCAGCAGCTATCCTATTCAGTTGTCTTTGCTTTTTGAACTACATGTTGGCATAGACAGAGGTGTTTCTATTTTAATCAACAACTAGCCTAGCATTTCCGCTGACATCCTGCTATTTTTCTCAAATGTACTTAACACAACCTGGGAATATCAGGCTTAGCTGATTATACTAGCTGTGTAATACAAAGTACTTTCTGTCCACACGGTGATATTTTCAAAGAGACTTAAGGGTAGCCTATGAAACTTCATCCAAAGTTTTGTCTTGACACATCAAAAGTGCAAAGTACAGAGCCCTATGTTTCTTTACCTTCCCGTATGTTAAAAAACCCAAACAAATAAAGAATCTATCATTATTAACTCACCTGGCAAGTGCTATTGGAAAAGCTGTTTTTCTGAAATCCCATCAGTTGTAAGTCATTTTACCCTAGGCTTTGCTTCCTTTTTTCCCAAAAAAAAAAAAAAAAAAAATGTTTCCCCATAGAAATACTGTCTGTTATTCTGTTCACTAGAAATCGTGGGTTTTATTGACCTGCAAGAACAGCTTAGTTTACATTCCTCCCTCCAACAGCCAGAAAGCATTCACTACCAAATCTACACCAGTGCATGTTAAATGGCTACATAGAGGGCCTATAAGTCATTTTGCAATGCATGGTTTTTTAATAAAGAAATGGCTGATCAGTTAAACTGCTTTCTCAAACAACGTCCTGGTATCTTTAATGCAGAAATTGTTTCGGCAGAACACTTTGTTACTACAGAATTGCTTAACAGAGACTTCCCTGTACTTGTGGTTACAAGAATAACTTGAAAGGATGGGATCCTTATCCACTATAAGCATCCCCTTACATTCGCATGGCACTGCTATTACAGAATATGGTTCAAATCACAGCCAACAAAATAAAATACATAACTGTATATAATTAAATCTATATAAAACAAAGTATAGCTTAAAAAACAACTGTTAATGTGTATTGCTTATGTGTTTATTTTTCCATATGGACAGCAACAAGAGTTTCAGGTGTAAAGCATTCATCCTGAAGATACTAAAAATTACTATAGAAATAAAGGGATTTCAGGAACTGGTTTGTGAAAGTCTGTTCAGATGCACCTCATCATCTCCCTCCTCCACAAATACCTTTCCTTGGCTCTAAAGCTTAAGCCCATCACTGTTCCAGCCCTTCCACCTCTACTGTACCATTTAAATCTGCTGTTCTGCACACAGGAATACCTGGTTAATCAAGGTCCCAGTCTGCCAAATGCAGAGGGGATTCAGTTATTTGTATTTTATAACTTTAAGTACCCAAGGATAGACATCTTATATGGCTTTACGAAGTTCAGGTTTGACATTGAGTTAGGAGACCACAGTCCCTACATAGCAGAGAAAAGTGAGTACTGTAACCAAGTAACTCATGTCAGCCTAGTTATAGACCTAACTAGCGACTAAATCTGAATTGCTCTCAGTGTCCTCAGTTCCCTGATGCAAGCCTGCTAATGGCTAGATGAGCACTGTTATCACACAGAACTGTCACTAGTTGTTTAGCATTCTCCAGAGAGACTAATGCTGCGGGGATTATTTTTTTTCCTTTTAACCCAATTTACCTTGGAAACTTGTTTAGTGTTACTGTGTCACCCACAGATGCAATTAACTGATTCTGATATTATATCTCAGCTTGGATAATAAGCACCCAGAATACTGAGCTAAAAAAATGCCTCAGCTGAGAAATGTTGCCATTGCTGTTCTTTTGAAATGCTCAAGTGCATCCACACGCTATTGAGGTGATTGGAGCAGCACATGCATCCCCGCATTTTGTACTGTGGCAGCCTAAATGTCCAAGATAACTTCTACCAATAAGAAAAAAAAAAGGCAATTCTCAGTTCTCTCATTTTCAGGCCCTTATTTCTCAGGAAATTGAACTCCCCAAGGGAGTTGAAGCTGCTTACAAACTCGGTTAAGATGAAGCATTTGCGAGTACTCCAGGAAAAGAGCACTTCACCACTGTGCTGCTTCTAGTGTTTTCTTGGAACCCCTCCTCTCACTCTATGAGCCTATAACAGATAGCTCACGACAGTCAAAGTCACTAAAGCTTCTTTATAATCCTCAGAGCACCACACAGCCCTCCTCCCTCCCCACCAATGGCCA